TCTTAATGATAGAGCACACATACATACACGTGCGAGAGAGAGAAAGAAGCGCCTTCGACAAGGTCTTACGGTGACACAGTCTCCTTTCCCAGGCTCCGACTCCTCGGTACCTTGGCACTGCACACATTACCAGCACGCTTCCGGGCTAATCCAGGAATCCAAACCCACAGTCACTATGTGGCTTCTAGCCTCGCTGGGCACCTGCATTACCACTGTGCCTCATCAGCTGAGCCAGCAGTGTCTTTTTTCTTTCTCTGTTTATTTCTTCCATAAGTCAGAAAGAGGAGAGAAAGACAGCCAGACAGACAAATGGCACCCCTGACAGGATCTTAACACTGGATCCACCTCAGCTTCAGCCAGCCTCAGATCACAGGCATACTGAGACCGGTGTACTCAGGAGGCCTCCAGACACAAACCTGGAAACGTCCTAAGTGGGTCAGCCTCGCAGTACACCCCATTTTACCACTCTCACCTCCTGACTCCTGGCAGCATCTTATTTGAAGAGTTAGAAACCTTTCCTGAAGTCCTGCTAGCTGACTTCTTAGATCTCACTGATCAGAGGTGCATCATGCTCAAACCTAAGCCAATCACAGGCCACAGGAATGGGGACCCCCACCATCAGTTTACAATGATGAGAATCCATCCCAGGGCCCGGGAAAGGGGCATAATTCCCCCTAAGGCAACAAACTGCTAGGAGAATAGAGTAGAGAGCTAAGCATCACTGAGGAAGGAAGTGGAGGGAACACCATTGTCTAGCAAGGCAAACAGTGTCTGCTGTGTGTGCCTGCGGCTCCACACAGGAATCTGATTCGAGTCTGAGCTCTACGACCGTCAGTCTTCCATCTTAGCATCCATGGTGATGCCATGTTGGGGGCTTTCGGTGTATCTTCTCATTTAACCCACACCTCTGTCCAAAGAGATACCTACATTATCACCCCAAGTTAGAGATGATAAAAACAACAGCATCAAGGCCAAGATTGCACAGCGCTTGGAGGTAGATGTTTATAAAATTCAATAGCCCACACCACCAGGTTATAAATTATAAACCTAGCACTTAGTACCGTACGTAGCACGGAAAAATGAAAAACAATGTTTGGTAAATGTTTGCTAAATGAAGGGCCGACAGGTGGCGTGGTGGTTAGGGTGATGGACTCCCACATGGCCAACCACGTTCACGTCCCAGGCCTGGCAATTTGAGAATCATGCTGGGCTCATGTGTGTGTGCCCAAAATCGTGACAGGAGACTGGAAAAGGAATTGCAGGGTGGCCACCCCCTGGGGGGTAACTTCTACCTTTTTCTCTCTGTCTCTTTCCAGCAAGAGCACACACTTTTAGGAATAAATTAATTAATTAATTAATTAAAAGTTTGCTACATGAATATTCTGGCCCTTTCCTTTCTAAAAATCCTTTTGTCAGTCTCCAGGAGAACATTTAAATTCTAGTTTCTGCAAAGCATTTGTATCTCTGAGCAGGACTTTCATCCTGACTCAGAAATCCTTCTTCACCACCCTAATGGAACTTTGTTCTTCTGATCCCAAAATCAATGTACCAGTTGAGACCCTTCACGCCTTTTGGCTTGTTTGAGCCTGAAAGAATGCCCCCTGCGGCAGAGATGAGCAGTCAGTTGCTTTTCACATGGAGGTATGTGTGTCATGTAATTTATCCCCTGAATTTCTATGAGGAGAGGTCTAGCTGGGAGACCATGTGGTCCTTGAACCAGGAAGAGGCAGGAAAGCCATAGCAGGGGCCTGGCCTGGAGCGACCAGTCACATCCAGATGTGTCTTGTCAAGTAAGTTAGAAGAAAAAGCCCTGCTCTTAGAATATGAACGGATGGTTTCTTAGTTCAGCAGCTGGATAGCCTACCTCATTAAATACGCAGCGGCTTCCCTTCTCAGGGCGCGGGTTCCCCGTCTATGAAATAACGGCATTAGACTGAACTGTATTTAAGGAATCTTCGGCTGTGACATTTGAAACTTGGAAATCGTGCTTCTTGGGTTTACTGTCAGCATGCCAACTCTTTCATGTTTCTGCCTTTTTTCCTATGGACATTTGATGGGTCTGGGTGGTGAGAATAAATTTAAATTGTGTTTTTATAGTACTAAATAGTTTGGAACCAGCAGATGGCTTAATGGTTACATCGCGGAACCTAGAAACTTCAAACTCAAGCTGGGTAGCTGGGCGCCTGTGTGTGAGTGCCCTAGATCCTGAGAGGAGAGTGGAGAAGGGACGGTGGCACAGCCATCTCCCCTAGGGGATGATTTCTTGCTTTCCATCTCTCTGTCTCGCTATCTCTCTCTCTGTCTCTCATGTGTGTGAGCACATGTGCCCTATAGCAAAAAAATCTCTCTCTAAAAAAAAAATGCTAAGCAGTTGGTTTCACAGAGTTCGGTTTAAAACTGTTCTCACGTTCATTATTTTTTTTTTTTCATTGTTAGAAGGCATGTGCATTCACCAGAAAAAGACAAAGAGAGATGGAGGAAGTACCCCCACTGGGGCACGGTCACACCCAGCCACCTCTCCTCCATTTCTCGACTCTGTACCCACTGGGGCACGGTCACACCCAGCCACCTCTCCTCCATTTCTCCACTCTGTACCCACTGGGGCACGGTCACACCCCGTGTCCCCCCTGGGGCCGGGCCCCCCCCAGCCACCTCTCCTCCTTTTCTCGACTCTGTACCCACTGGGGCACGGTCACACCCAGCCACCTCTCCTCCATTTCTCGACTCTGTACCCACTGGGGCACGGTCACACCCAGCCACCTCTCCTCCATTTCTCCACTCTGTACCCACTGGGGCACGGTCACACCCCAACCACCTCTCCTCCTTCCCTCCATCCCTCCATCCTGGCAGGATTTGGGGCACACATGCACACACATACCATGTATGCTTGAAGCCACTGGGGCTGAGATTTAAAACAGGGGTTGTTGCCATGTGGGAGTCAGCTCACCTAACTACTAGGCTACCGGGCCACCCCAAGTACAGTCTCTCGATTCTTTCTTACGACAGCACTGTGAAGTCATTAATTTTCCCACTTTCACACATCAACAAATGGGGAGACAATGGAGCTCCCCAGTGTTCCTTGGTTATCAAGGCACAAGCCCAGACCTGACAGCAGCGATTCCCCAGCTCGCATCCTGGAGTCTGACCGCTCAGCATGCAAGAACCCACAGTGCACCTGAGCCCGCTCCTTCCCCAGCACTGGGAGAGCCTGACTCAACCTTTATTCAAAGACAAGGAAAGAGCGCAGATAAAATTGTTAACTCGAATCACAAATGTCATTGTTATTTTAGAGTTAAGCTATAACTCCTCACCAAAAAAAAAAAAAAAATCGAGTATAAGGAATAAGCATCTAAAAACAAAGTCCAGAAGACAATGAGTTGCTTTAAGAGATAACGACAATATCAGCACAGATGGTATTCAAGCGTGGAATAAATGAATTGCTGACAGGGCTCCGGAAGTCTGACTTTGGTTCACCAGTTCTGAGAAATGGACCACACTAATGCGAAATGTTAGTAACTTCATGGAGATGGGTGAGGGAGAAGATAGTTACTGGGCCCCAGGGTGCTCTAGCTGCAACTGCATACGAGCGTGTTTGGAAATCTGGACAGCTAGGAGCAGGTCCCTGACACTGGGAAGCTGCCAACTATTCTGTTTCTTCTGAGGACGAGGCTCGACTTTTACTATGAAGGAATACAGAGTCCTCGTTTAGGGAGAAATACTTACAGAGCGTTTTAATTATACCATGGTGGGGAAAAAATATCCTCTTCTGAAACAGAGACCCCAGATAAGAAACCAGTCATGTCTGTGACGTGTGTTACTGAGTGGCTACACTTGGCTCAGGGTTTAGAAGAAACCTTGATTATTCTTTCTCAAGACTTCCAGAACATTTTACCATTAAAAAAAAAGTAATGGAGACCTCCACTCTGGAGGGGCTTAGAATAATATTCACTTGCATTGTAATCCTTTCTCATTCCATGGAACTCCAATCGTGCTTTATAAATTGCACTGTAGGGAATTAAAGGGTGTGTTTGGTTCATGCGTATGAAGGGAAGCACAGCTATGAGGAAAGCCGGTTGAGGAAGCCACAGGCAACCTGAAGGCACTAAAAGCCCAGTGAGGCAAGGCAGCGTGTAGCGTCATAAATGAGATTAGTACCCTTATGACGGGAACCTCACGCCCTCTGTCAGCCATCTGAGGACACAGAGAACAGTCAGCCGCCTGCAACCTGGAAGAGGTCTCTAATCAGAACCCTGCCTGCACCCTGACATCAGACTTCCAGCCTCCGGAACCGTGAGAAATAAATGTCCATTGTTTTCACTCACCAGTCTATCCTATCATAGATCAAACGGTCTGAGACAGTGTGATTAAGAGGCACGGACAATAAAGCTGTGTAATTTCTTTGTTTTTTTTTTTTCTTTTTCTGGAGAGGTTTTTCGCTATAGGGCGCGTGCGCTCGCCAGGCAGACAGAGACAGAGAGACAGAAAGCAAGAAATCATCCCCCAGGGGAGATGGCCACGCCACAATCCCTTCTCCTCCATTCTCCTCTCGGGATCTTGGACACACACGCACACGTGCCCGGCGTGAGTTTAAGCCACCAGGTCCGGGACACGAACCGTGGTTGTCTATGTGGGAGTCCAACAACATAGCCATTACGCTAACTCCTGGTCCCAAAGCTGTGTAATTTCAAAAGGAGAAAAATGTGCTGTGAGTTGGAGAGAACAGAGCTCTCCTGGCCATACCCTGAAAATGTGTGGGATCGGGATGCCAAGAGAAGACATTGCTTTCATGGCAGGGAGTCACAGAGTGACCCATCTCATAGAAAATAAGCTCTATCTTTAAAGGCTATTTGGTACGTTTTTCCGGTCAGCCTAGTAGCAAAGATATCGTCTCCCTATACAAATCTTGGAACCAGTTTGTCAGGCACGATGTCAACAAACACCCACATTTACACATACACGCACATACACCCTCACACACTGAAGTGCACACATGACCTTACGCACAAATACGCCGTGTAGGTCTTGCTGTGTAGTTGCTGAAGGGATTCAGAATACGTCTGGCTCACTCTGATGTTATTTTTCCTTCCCAGACTTGAACATAAAATTGTGTTTTCATATCTCCTTCAGTCCAAGTCCTGTGGATCTGCTTAATAAGATTCAGACTTTCATTCTTTCCATCTTAGGAACTGAAGAGAGAGCAGTCTCCGGGGTTGGCCCTGCGTGAATTCTCAGCAGACTTGACAATGGAAAAGTTCAAACAGCAGGGCCTCCAGTCATTTTCTAAAGCAAACAAAACCAAAGCAAGCCTGGTAGGCTCCTTCATGACTTCCATGACTAAAATCCTCTTTCCTCACTTTTTTTTTGTTTTCCTCCCTCCTCCATATAGTCTTCAAAAACATGAGTCATGAGTACACTTGGAACTCAGTGATGAGTCCCCGCATGTCAGTGTGAAATGTCAGCAAGTAAATTAAGCAAAAGTTCTGGCTGGGGAGATAGGTCGGGTGAAGAGCTGCAGAGCTGCCTGCTCAGTTCTGATTTCCCTGGAGGAGAGGGCGTCGGCAGGAGTCTGGAACCAGAGAGATGAGGCAGTTGTGAAAGACAAAGCTCAGGGATGAAGCGGAAGCCCAAGGTGAGAAGACGCAGGAAACTGGGGCAAAGTCCAAGCCATCGGCCTTCCTTTGAGGTGTGCAAAGACTCTGGTGTGGAGGCAGTGGAGTGCGCGAGCCCCGGCGGCAGGAGCCTGGCATCTAATTTATCTGATGCACTGGTCCACGCAGTCTTTGCCGTGTGGTTAACCAGCACCATGCACACGCGGCCTCCTCCCTGGCCTCCCCACCTCTTCCTGGCATTGACTGAAAACTCTCCTCTGGTAGGACCAATCCCTTTTTGTTTATCTCAAATGGAATCTTTCCGTTGTTAATGACTCTCGGTGTTCCTCCAAGTTGCAGTCAGCATGCCGGCTCCTGGTGCCCTCCTGGCTGCCAACGCTTGTACGTCAACATTCCTTTGTTTATTGAGGCTCAGGTGCTCCAGCTAAACCAGCCTTTGTCTGCACCTTCACTGTCCTAACTGCCACCTTTCCGTCCCTCATTGTGGAGATGGCCTGATGACGAAGAACCACATTCTCCTTTATCTCATACTTCCCCAAGACTTCGGCGTCTCTCATGGCCAGTCTGTACCACTGCCAAACTTCTCAGGCCCTGACCTGTCATTTCAAAGCCTCGCCTTCCCTCTTCACACAGCACTCACTTCCATTCATCAGTCAGCACATAGTGACCGGAATCTGCCATTCCTCGTGCTCTGGGCATAGTGCTGGGACATCCAAGTGAACATGTCCCTGCCTAGAACAGGCTTGCAGTCTAGTCACACCGGAGAGGGGTATGTAGGAGCCCACTCTGGCAGGGAGGGTGTGTGGACAGGCCTCTTCCCAGCAGAACTGCAGAATCTACAGTGTTGAGATGGTAACTAATCCACATGGGCTGTAGCAGGATCCCACTACGAGGGTAGGAAGAAACCAGCATTAGCTACATAGTCTCTCATAAACCCTGCTGAAGTTTGGGTTAAGTTTTAAAATAAGGAAAAACTACCGTTCAGAAAACAAAGCAGAAGCCCAGTCATAAACCATGGAATTTTAGTCACCTTGATAGCCTAGAACTTAATACTATGTTGGCTCATGGCAGGTACTCGGCAAAGGTTTTGCCAACAGCACTCAGCCATCTATGGACACATAAAGTGTGGCAAAGGCTCAAGAGAAAAGCTACAGAATTATCCATAAGGCACAGAGCGGACCAGCTGCACACCCGAGCAAGACCACTTACCTCTGCTGATGGGACTCCGAAAATATTCCCAATCTGGCTTTCAGGGATGCTAGCTGGGAGGCCGTGAGTATTAGGAGCTGAATGAGCCTAAGACAACCAGGACTAACACAGGGGCAGCCTGTGGTACCATAAGCAACCTGCAGGAGAATCAAATCCATCTTCTATTGAGAAGTCCTTCCTACACCTTTTGAGTGGTGGGAATCAACCATCTCCCTAGAATATGGACCACCAGACCCTGTTATAGAGATTCCAGTTTGCATCTCCAGTAGAGACACCGGATTAATAGGAGTCTTCAGCAGTGACTAGGGGATTCATGGGTCATGTCTATTAACCTTAAAATATCAACAAAATTAAAGGATACCCAAGTAACCAAAATATCCGTATCATTTAGTGAAATTAGAACCAACTCAGTGTACTAACACTGGTCGTATAGATCAGAAACTATGATTAGAGGTTATATGTGCATTCGATTACATCTAAATGGGAAATTTCATTATGTATTTATTATTAAGTGTAGCTTCCTTGATGAAATTTTTCAAAACATGTTGTACTTTACTAGGAGTTTATAAAAGAGGCCTCTTTGGTGCAGAAAGGTTGAAAATCATTTGACAAGAAGAAAAAGCTTGTATATTTCATAGCTCGTTACATGAGCTAGAAACATCTCGTCCCCTGTGTGAGACAATGCTGATAATATGTATTAAACCTGCACTCCGATTTGGGGAACCGCATGGCCATGGACAGGGAGAAGCTGGTTTACAATCCAAGCATTATCCAAGCATTTATCTTACCCTTTCTGTACAAAGTCAATCTGAAGGCAATTGAAGAGTTAACAAGGGGATTCTGTATACATAATAGTATACAGCTGGTGTCCAGCAGGTGGCATAGTGGCTAAGATGCTGGACTCCCACATAGCTGATGGTGGTTCAAACCCCAGATCCAGTGGCTTGAAAATCACACTGGACATGTGTGCACACCTGCCCAAAATCCAGAAAGGAGAATGAAGGAGAAGCGATTACAACATGGCCATCCCTCCTAAAGGGTGATATTTCTCTCTCTCTCTCTCTCTCTCTCTCTCTCTCTCTCTCTCTCTCTCTCTCCCTCTCTCTCTCTCTCGTAAGTACATGTGCCCTATGTCAAAAACCTAAAAAAAAAAAAATTGAAGTCTTACATGTTAAAAATAAAAAAGTATACAGCTGTACTTCTTTCTTATAGTTATCTGTATCATTTATAAAAGAACCAGCCTGTATTGGTATCAAAAATTCCAGTAAATAGTGGCTTAAAATTATTAAAACACTACTTTAAAAAATAGTGGGGTTTCTTATGTAACAAGAAGTTTGATACCGTAATCTTGAGATGGGGCAATTCCTAAAGGCCTAATCAAGGAACTATGTTCCAGTTCAATGTCTACTCTACCATCTGAGTGTGTACACCGTGTTCATCCTCTTTATGGTAAGATCATTGTTACTCTTCCAGCTGTTGTACTCACATTCCAGGTAGGAAAAAGGAAGAAAGTGGGTCAGTTACTGTGCTGTTAGAGCCCCAGACCCAGGGACTTGAGAAGCATGCCAGGCACATGTATATGCATGCCCAAAACCCCAGAAGAGGGGAGAGTTGAAGGAGAAGGGATTGCGGTGAGAACATTTCTATGGGGAGTGCTTTCTCCTCTCTCTGTCTCTGCCACTCTGTCTCTGGTGAGGGCAAATACTCTCTAGTTTTAAAAAAAGAAGAATAAAAATAAAAAAGAAATAAAAGAAAGAGGGAAGGGAAAGGGCAGAAAGAATGTGCCAACCAGATCTTTTTGTTTTGTCAGGAAAACATTTGCTTAACATGGAAGTCTTTATTTAGCAGATTTCCGCTTATGTATTTTCACTGGCATATTGCAAGAACAGTTTGGATAAAAATCAGTTGTCAAAGAATTGACATGTATAGAAAGTGGTCAGTACATACATGTAAAGATTTCCTTCAAGTACCCAGAGGTTAAAAGGTAACAAATCCTCCTGAAGTTCATCAAATACGTTTTGATTTGCTTCATTATAAACATAGCAATAACTGTATTATTTTTAAGTAAGTTAATAATGAGAACGAGAGAGAGATCAGGGAAGGAAGGAAGAAAGGTGGAAAAAATAAAAGAAAGAAGAAGAAATAAAGATGGGGGGATAAATGTAAGGAGAAAATCACAGTGATAACTTCCGCAGTTTTGAAAATTGGGAAGTAGGAGTAAAACTAGCCCCAGTCTTTGTGGTGCAGATGGTAGCTTGCTGAATTACAGGCTGGAAGTCACTTGGTGACCATGGCATGAACCCCTGGCCTGATCGGCCTAGAGCACAGCAGGCAGAGTGTGAGTGTCTGAGAGTGAGTGGGTTGGAGGACTAGGAACGACGCGGAGGCATGGCCACTCCTGGGAAGTGTGCTCCCTCTCCCTCTCTCACTCACAGGCGTGTGTAAATACTCTATCAGGATTTTTTTTTAAAGAAAAGAAAAGTAAATATGATGAAGTATTTATTTTGCCTAAGAGTTAATGAGCGATTTTTTTAATAGATGTAGTCCACCTTAAAAACAGTGAAGTATGATAAAAGTAGAAATTCACATTTTGTGGAACTTAGTGAAATAATGGGTCTAGGAATAACCAGAAATGGCTACTAACATCAAGGAAAGGAAGTCCACTAAACATAATGGAAAATGTGCCACCATCCGGGACAGCAGGTGGCATGATGGGTAGGGTGCTGGATTATGGCCAACTGTAGTTAGAGTCCTAGACCCAGAGGCCTGGAAATAATGTCGGGTGCATGTGCATGTGTACCCCAAATCCCAAGAGTATAATGGAGGAGAAGGGATTGTGGCATGGCCATCCTCCCTGGGGGGTGACTTCTCACTCTCTCTCCCCCCCCCCTCTCCATCTTTCTCTGGGGAGTGCATGCATTCTATGGCAAAAACTTTAAAAAAAACACTAACCAATAGCATACAAGTAAAATTCCTATGGATTAAATTATGTGATATCCAGAATTTGTTCCAAAAGCACCCAGGGGGCAGGAGGATGTGGATGGAGGCACAGACTATATGATATTGGCACTGAGTTGGTAATTGCTGAAGTTAGATCAAGGGTATTATATCATCCACTCTACATTCTTACGTGTTTCAAATTTTCTATAATAGTTGTATAAACACTAATCATCCTCAGAATGGGCAGCATTCGAAAATGCACCAGGAACTTAGCCCAAAGATAGTAAAAAACTATTCTGGGTCAATCAAGTCCTCCATTGACCTAAGATTCCTTCCTGTGCCCTACTGAGAGGCCTGGAGTTGATGCCAGAGGCAGAGGACTCTTAGGCACGAAGTTAGAGTGCAACAGAACGTACCGTTTCCACGTAAGTCTTTGTGTCACTTTCAGACAGCCTAGAGAGTTTAGAACATCTCTTCAAATTTCATTATAA